ATATATATGTAACTATTTTAAATTACTAATAAAGATATAAGCAAGGCCTCACCTTAATACCAAAAAAAAAAATATATTTAACTTATTTGTAAATGTAATCTATTAAATAAAAAAATATTATCATTTTTTTAACAGATAATAATAAGTCTATAATTTCTAAAAACAATCTTTTATCTATTTGTTTACTTTTATTATAATATAAATCATTTCTATTTTTATATATACTATTTTTTATTATAGATTTCCAAGGATGAAGATAAAAATTTTCTTTATAAGATTTAATATAATTTAAAATTAATTTACGAATATTATCAGTTGTTTTTATATTTGTTTCAATGATTTTATTATATCATTTAATTATTAAATCTATACTTTTTTTTACAGAATATCCAAAAGGAAAATATATTGGTTTTAATTTGATTGAATTATTTTTTCTTTGTTTGAAATTAATAGAAACATGAATTTTTAAAATATTTGTATTTAGTTTAGTTTCTTTTACTATTTTTAAGTTTGACTATAATAAATTAATTTCATTTAGAAATTTATTTTTATTTTTTAGAAAAAATGGATCAATATTTTTTAATATTTTGAAATTTTTTTCAATGTTTTCATTATTTCTTTCATTGATAATTATTGATTTAATATTTTCTATTAATTCATTTCCTCTTTTTTTAATATAATTTTTTAATTCTTTAATATGCCAAGGTCCTAATCTTTCATTTTTTTGTATAAGGTTATATAATTTACTATTAGGTTGTATATCAAAAAGATTTGTTTTTTCATTTATTTTTTTATTGTAATATGATAATATTTCTTTAACATCAAATAAAAAATCCATTTATATAATTTATTTAGTTTTATAGTTATATTTATAAAAAATTTAAATTATTCAAATATTCTTGCTTCAGGTAGTAATGGTAGATTTTGATTTTGATCTTGATTTGTATCAATAGTATCTTTAGGTTTTGAAGGTTTTTCTTTATAATTTGATAAACATTATTATTAGTGAATAATTTTTTTATAATTTTATAATTTAATTATATTTACCTAAATTAGAGTGATTATTTATCATTTCTTTAACAGTATTTATTAATTGTTGCATTGCTGATCCTGTAGTAAATTTAAGATTCGTCATACTATCCATATTTATATCATATCCCATCATAGGCATTACTTTATTAACAATAAGAAAAAAACCAAAATGTGTAGGAAATTTTGGTGTTTTACCAAAATGTGTTATATCATTATTATATTTTAAACCTATTTTTAAACTATTTTCAATTCTTTCTTTTATTATTTTTGGATCTGCAGTTACTGTTAAAACCCAGATAACATTAGGTTGGTAACTAGTTATATTAGTTTGATTATCTCTATCACAATAATAAAATATTATACTTTTTTCTTCATCAACTCTTTTTACACCAAAAGGCATTCCTTGTAATTCAGATTTTTGTCTTTTTGATGTTTAAACATGAGAATAATAAATGTATATACTAAAATTATGCCAAAAAGGTTTATCACAACATTTAGATTGATTGTTTTTTA